CGCTGACATGGCTCCCGCTCCGTGCCCGCGGGCAGGTGGCAACCCGGGGCATTGTTGTAGTCTTTAAAATCTCAAAGCAGAATTAAAAAACATAAGCAGCCCAGYGCCTCTCCCACCTACACCTGTGCTCAGGTCTGATGGTGGCATTGCATGTGCCAAACACCCCTTTGCCTGCATGTGGCATCTCCTCCCTTGGACCATTCCCCACATTGTTCCCATCCCTTTAACTGCCACTTCCCAGCATCGCAGATGCGTCAGACATGGAGTCCGGCAGGTGTATACACTGGATAGGCTTGGGGCAGAGTGCACGGTAGAAAAGGATCTGGGGTGCTGGTTGACAGCCAGCTGCACATGGAGGTGCTGGTTGACAGCCGGCTGGACATGAGCCATCAGAGTGCCCAGGTGGCCGAGAAGGACAACCACCTCCTGSCTTGTATCAGGAACAGGGGGGCCAGCAGGACTAGGGAAACAGTTGTACCCCTGTACTCGGTGCTGGTGAGGCTGCACCTCTAATACTGTGTTTAGGTTTGGGCCCCTTGCTACAAGAAGAACATTGAGGAGCTGCAGGGTGTCCAGAGAAGGGCAGTGAAGCTGGTGAAGGGGCTGGAGTGCAGACATGAGGAGCAGCTGAGGGAGCTGGAGTTATTTAGTGTGGAGAAGAGGAGCCCCAGGGGAGACCTTATCATTCCCTACAACTACCTGAAAGGAGATTGTAGTGAGGTGGGGGTTGACCTTCAGAATAGCTACAGATAGAACATGCAGAAATGGCCTCAAGTTGCACCAGGGGAGGGTCAGGTTAAATATTAGGAAAAATTTCTACATGGAAAGAGTGGTAAAGCATTGGAACAGGTTGCCCAGGGAAGTGGTGGAGTCACCATCCCTGGCAGTGTTCAAGAAATGTGTAGGTAAGGCACTTAGAGACATGGTTTAGCAGACATGATGTTGAAGTTGGCTTATGTTTGGAATCAGAATCACAGAATCATTGGATGGATGAAACATCTAGAGATATCTAGCCCAACCCCTGTGGTTCAGAAGGGACACCTAGGGCATACGGTGGCATTCAGGTGGGTTTTGAAGACCTCCAGAGAAGGAGACTCCGCAACCTCTCTGGGCAGCCCGTTCCAGGGCTCTGGCACCCTCACAGTCAAGAAGCTCTTCCTCACATGGAGATGGAACTTCCTGTGTTTCAAKTTGTGTGATCTTGAATGATCAGTGACACTCGATCTTGAAGGTCTTTTCCAACAATAATGAATTTGCGATTCCATACRCAGGTAGAATGATTCTGTTATTTATTTATGGAGGAAACTCAGCAGACCCAGTGCCAAGATTTGGATGTGAGGTGCTGCGTATGCAGCTAATTTACAAAGATGTGTAGCTTGGTCATCCTAACCTCTTTCCTCCCTTATATGCTCGCCCCACACTTCAGAGCTATTTCTGCTTGGACATTTCCAGCCTGCTTGTAATTCCTGCAGCTCCTTCTCCCACCAGTGCATGAGCCACAATTCAGGCATCTGTGGTGCTGGCTGTTTGTGTGGGCAGGAACGTGGCCYGGCGAATGCCGTGCGCTAGCACACGGATACCTGCCACCATGGGGCCAGCATCCGGCATTTCCTTTAGATTTCTGTGCTCAGAGGTGTGGGAGTCTTCCTTCCACTCTAAGGAATTTGCTGGAAAGGAATGAGGCTCCTCATTAGGCTTAACAAATTTAGTTTCCACTCCTAAAGCCATGTTTGTTTTCTTCTGCTAGTGTTAAATTGCCGCACGTGAGCTGCCCAAGGCTGCGAGTGCTCGGTGGGAAACGGTGCCTCTCAGAAGGAAGACCAAAGGTGCAGCGACTCTGGAAAAACAAGCACAGGACACTTGAGGGCAGGGCAGCCTCGAGATGCAAGGCAAAAGCTACAGTCCAGAAATCTGGGATTTCTTTGGGAAACGTTTTGAGACTTGCGGCTCTTGAAAAGTGCATTAAAATAAACAGTAGATTAAACTAAACTAAACCATGTAATTCCATTTGAGGTGGCTCCAAAGGGGAACAAATGCAGCCTCTTCTGGCACCTAAAGGGTAATGACCACTTGTGGTTACTGATTTGATCATACTCCTTGTGAAAGTAGACTGGCTAGCCCTGAAGTCTGGGCTAAATTTGAATTTGCCTAATTATATGCTGCTTGTTATGTTGTCCAATTTTAGTTATGAAAGTATTTGGTGTTGTTTTCYTTAAGTCATTACGTAAGCTACTGTCTGATGTGAAATCATGGCTGTATTTTGCAGTACAGGTAGTTGTTTTTATTGGGTGGAGAATTCATTAAGTTTACTTGTTTGGAGCATGGTAAGTCAAACCTCAGAGTCCTCACGGTAACATAAAACAGASTTAGTAGTACTGCAAAGCTAATGTTAATATTGGTTAAGCTAAGCTTTCTATTTTAGCTTTCAGTTGTTCAAAACTGTCAGGTTGAGCTGAAATTTCTCCCATTAGTTGTCTGCTTCCAGATGGTCTATTTTAGCTTGTTGTGACTGTTGTCCTTTATCTTATAATTTTTTTCTTTTTTTTTTCTTTTTTTTTTTTTTTTTTTTTGGAAAGGTCCACTTAAAACAGTCGAGCCAACTACAAAGATGAATGTAGGGAAAAACACAGGGTTTTGTCTGTCACAAACATTTTTAGTCCTTTCACTGAATGGCTTCTAACATCTCTGTGCTTCGGAAAAACAGCTTTCAAATTTGCCAAGTGAATTGCTTTGGATTTAGGAATGTGTTCTTGCCATCTTTATGAAAATATGACCAAAACATAAAAAGGGTTAAAAACGCTGAGTGAAAACTTATTGTGACTGCCCCATGCCAAGGAATTTCACCCATCTTGCATGTCAACATTTTGTAGGCCCTTGTGAACCCCATATACCCTTCCCAGGGACAGGTTGAGCTTCTGCAGTCACATCTGAACCCCATGTACCCTCCCCAGAGACAGGCTGAACTTCTGCCTCACGTTGCAGATGTTTTTATAAAATAAGAGCCTTTAAGGGGCTTGTGCTGAAGTGGGAGACAGCCATCTCCCTTCTGTTAAACATCTTTGCTCAGGCTACCCGATGTTAGAGTGAGTGTTGACAGAATCACATGTAGATCTATCTCCTGTTCAAGCTGTTAATAGTATTTGCAGGTCTTTTTGTGTTAACACTAGTAACTATTCATATTTGTAAGCTGCAGAGGGCTTTAGTGCTAACTGCCACCCAAAACGACAATGTGTTACCAAAAGTGATTTGTAGAAAAGGAGGGCTGCCTCCAAAACCAGAGGCAGGAGAAAAACTCCTGAGTAGAAGAAGGAACAGCTAAAAACACTTGGAGGCAGCTGCAATTCTAGAAGATTTTTATCAAAAAAAAAAAAAAAAAAAAAAGAAAAAAGATGTTCTCTTCATTGAGTGAGACAACTGAGTGGGAAGATGAGTAAAATATGGTTTTAAAAATTCAGGTTCAGAGACTTCACATTTGGTTAATCTACATTTAAACACCCAAGCTGTCAATTATCACATTCAGATACAGAGAGGTGAATGTCAGAATGAATTTTTCTAAGCTATCATTTATAAAAGAAACCAGTAGTGTTAAAGTAATTAAAAGGAGGCTTAAAAGGCTGATAATAGTCATCCTGAGCCTCACTGGGCTGTATTAATGAGGCATTTCCCTTCATTCCTGAGGTGTCACTTCCTGGAAAGTTTAATAGGAAAGTCTAGAAGCATTATTAGCCTTGAGAAGAGAACATGGAGAGGGTTGAAGATTGAGCAAAGATTGATGTACATTATCAACATGTACAAATACCTGAGGGGAGGATGTAAAGAGGATTGGGCCAAACTCTTCTTTATGTTAGCCAGTGACAGGACAAGGGGTAATGAGTATGAATTGAAGCATAGGAAGTTCCATCTCCATGTGAGGAAGAACTTCTTTCCTGTGAGGGTGACAGAGCCCTGGAACAGGCTGCCCAAGGAGGTTGTGGAGTCTTCTCTGGAGGTCTTCCAAACCTGCCTGGATTCCACCCTGTGCCCCATGCTCTAGGTGTCCCTGYTTGAGCAGGAGGGTTGGACTAGATGATCTCTAGAGGTCCCTTCTAACCTCAACCGTTCTGTGATGCTGTGATCTCTGGCAATAAAATCAAATAGTAAAAGAAAGAAAACAAAGAGTTGTGC